CATGAATCTTATACATGAAGGTCAACGTTTGATTCGTGTCAACACCTTCTAAGTCGAGTTTATTGCATAGGATTTTCTTAGTGCAATTTACTTTTTATGTGCATAGATATTTCACGTCACCAAAAAAAAAAAAAAAAAATCGAAGTAATAAAAACAAAACAAAAAAAAAAAAATCAATATAGTAATATCACATTGAAGGAGAATATAATGTACCATTAACCCATAAATAAATATTACATGACAAGTAAGACTATGTGGTCTAATGGTATTCAGGTTGGATTTTCATTTGGAAGGTTGTGGTCTATGTGGAGTTTGAGCCTCACATACTACATTGTAATAGAGTCAGTAGCATTCAAAAAAATATTACATGACAAAAAAAAAATCAATATAGCAATATCACATTGAGAGGAGAATATAATGTAACAATAACTCAAATAAATAATACATTTTAATTAAAAGTATAACACGTATTATGTAAAACAATTTTTCACAATTTTTTTTTAAATACTCGGAGTATATATATATATATATATATATATATATATATATATATATATATATATATATATCATGAACATTTACATGTGCTATAGGAAAAACGAAATCAACGGCTGCCTAATCTTGCAACTATTAAATTGATTGTGCCACGTGGATTTGCTAATGGACATTTGTGTTAATGAGTTGATACATCTCACTTAATTTATCTTTACTAGTGGAGCAATAATGGAGATTGCAATCTCTTGTAGCTTATTAATTGGTAGCTTAACCTTTTCTCTCTATCTCTATCATATAATATTGTAAGATCCCATAAAGGATTGGGCATTCAAAATTTTTTGTGGCTATTATTTATTTGAGTGAACTTCTTTTTTCTTTTTCTTTGGAATTCTTAATTGGAGCCACATGTATTCTCTATGCTTAGGTTATCCATTGCTTTTAGTGTTTTCAAAAGGATTAATCTTGAGATTTAAGCGAAAGAAATTTGATTCTTCATAAATGGAGTAATAGATTTTGTACCTATAGGATGATGGAGTTTTTTTTTTTGTTTTTGTTTTTTTTTTTATTTTATTTTAAATACTTGTTAGGTATAGTCATGAGGAGTTAATTATCGAAATGGTCCCTTGACTATAGCGGAATTACTAATTTGGTCATTGATAATTTTTTTTGCCTAATTAATTACTCAACTTTTAAAATCTTAACCAATTTGGTCATAGATTTGTATAGTTGTCAGACGTCTGTTTACTCAGACCAAATTTGTAATTTCACTATAGTCAAGAAACTATTTTGATAATTAACTATTCGATTTAATAAGAGAGAAAATGGTGCATGTGATGACCGAAATAATTTATTGATTATAGTGAAATTACCACTTTGGTTCAGAGTAGATGGATGTCTGACGGCTAAACAAATTAAGGACTAAATTAGTTAAAAAAATTGGTTAAAAAAAATTAAAATTGAAGATTTAATTAGGCAAAAAATAAATAAATAAAATTCACAGACTAAATTAATAATTTGACTATAGTTAAGGAATCATTTCGATAATTAAGTATACTCATGAGTAAAGTTCTCATTAACCTATCAAGTAACATCTATATACAAGTGTGTATGTAATATTCCATATTTTCATCTTTGAAACTAACATCGATAGTGACAAAACTAAAGTTGATACAACCTTGTCAACATCAAACATCCTAGGTGCCTCCATTACTAAATTATATTACATTATGATCGATAATCAACATTTTGAAATAATTGATATGCATACTACTAATACAATTTTAAGATCGGGAATCTAATTCAAACGAGAATAAAAATCAAATTATGTGGATGCTATCCATGCTAATAAATCTTGATTAGTATCTCACGATGATAGAAATAGCATATGCTAATTCTACTTTATAAATAACGTTGATGCTGTTTTTGAACTTTGTATATTGATCAACATATTTGACAAACATTAGTGATAGAGTACGAGTCAAACTTTAAAAAATTTGACTACATGAATTGATGTTGATTTTTAGTTGTAAATTTAATAAATATGTTAATTATGAATTTTTTCAAATGGTCCCTAAAATCTAATAAATGTTTGTGGTTCGAGTGATTGATATGATATGTATAATGTGGAAAATCTTGTGCAACACACGGCTTTGAGATTTATTTTTGTTTGACCAAATTAATTCAAAAAGTAGAAGTTGAAATTATATATATGTGTGTGTTGACTAAACATCAAAACACTAACAAATTGATTTTAGTAGTTTTCTCTGACCTGGATGGCTTGTTAATTCAATCTGCAAATTATGATATATATGTAATATGTTATCATTGATGGGACAAATGCCTAAGCAAATTTCTTCCTAGTGGAGAATTGAAAGGCAAAATTTTTCATATATATGTTGGGAGAAATGAGTTTTCTAGACATGATACTATCAGTTCGTCACTGTTTTTATTTGAATAATAATACTATAGTAATATTTTTTTTAATAGAATTATAGGACAGTTGAATTGATCCAATAATCGAAATAATAAATTCAAGTAAAATAAAGTCCATGAATCTAATTTGTCAAGATTTCATGATAGATCAATACAATCCGATCAAATCAAGGTCCATAAATAGTTTTGTAACTCTATATTCCTACCCTTCTAGGCAAATTTACACTATTGTTTTGTTCCATTATTAACATAATAATGTGTGCCGATTGACATAAAATAAAGTAAAATTGCATATTTTTTGTTTATGTTTTTTTTTTTTTTTTTTTTTTTTCCTTCTAATGAAATTAGAATATGTGGAGAGTACAATACACTTTATTATGTATATATAATTTATTGAACATTATATTGCGTATAGTGTGTAGTCAATTGACTAGTGATGCATATAAGTATATGTTTGACCTATGACTTCAATAATTGTGTCATTTCATCACATACATTGCATTGTAATTTGTAGAGTTTCTTTTGTGATGATTGTAGATAAGACCCCACACACATCAAGACTTTTGCATGAAAGCTTGTTAAAACATTATGGCAACTAAGATCAGTTCATTTATTTATCTTTAAAAAAAAACCCAAATTGATATGCTTAATTAGGAACTGTTATATTAATATTTTTTAATTATATATTGAAAGAATGAGTTATAATAATCTATATTTATATAATTTATAACTAATATATTAACATTTAATTGTTTATTTATAAATTAATGTATTTGATCTTCAGCCAAATTAAATAGCATCCTCACTAGACATTGATCTTGTCGTCTAGTGACATGGAGTGGCTCTTCTAACAAAACAGCGAAAGGAATGACATTCCATTTCATACAACTTGGCCTAGAAATGACAACATCTCTAACTAGTAAGAGAGTCGTCATATTCACATGTCATTTAGCAAACAAAAAGTTTATGTTACCAAAAAATCTAGCTAATTCCTTAATGTCATTAATGATAAGATCAAAGTAGATAAACTAGCATTCGTTTTCAGTCAATTAATAACCAGTTTAGCATCCGTCAACCGTCCCTACCTGAATCTGGTTGATATAGCGACCTTTTAGCCAACTTAGAGCTTCTCTCATACCCACAACTTCAACCACTCTCAAAGAGAAAGTTCCCATCCATTGAAATTATACAATAATTTATAATAAATATAAAAGTGCATAACAGGCTTCAGTCTTTACAACTGAGTTCAGTGAGTTGGTTGGGTAGTGAGTTTGTGACCTTGATCACAAGCTTGACTCCAGTTAAGAGTTGGCTATTAGACTCTCAATTGAGCTAAACACATGGGCTTCACTTTTTCATAAAAAAATAAAAAATAAAAGTTCATAAAATCATATCTACACAAATTTTAAATCTAATGCTACCACGAAATCAACAAGACTTGAACATGAGATCTTTATCTTAAGATAGAAATGGAAAATGTAATGACTAACAACCAATCTTTATGTTGTGGAACCGTGTCCACCTTGCATATTCATAATTTTTAAACTTCATATTCATAATTTTTAAATTCTATATTCACAATTACAGAACTCTATGTTCATAATTATAAAGGTATATGTTCATAATTATAAAGCTATATATTCATAATTTTTGAAATTCATATTCATAATTATTGAATCTCTATATTCATAATTATAAAACTCTATGTTCATAATTACTGAACTATATGTTCATAATTATAAAGCTATATATTCATAATTTTTGAACTTCATATACACAATTATTTAATCTCTATATTCATAATTATAGAACTATATGTTCATAATTATTGAACTATATATTCATAATTATTAATAATTTTGGAGCCGTGTCCACATTGTAAGGTGGACACGGTTCCAGATCATAATTTGTCACTAACAACCAATTATTATTGTGTGGATAATATATTTGTATACTGTAAAATATTCAGTACAAAAATAATGTAAATTCAGTACAAAAATAATGTACATTGTATTCAGGGGATGCACATTATTTTTGTACTGAGTGTATACATTCAGTATAAACTACATTTAGTATATTAAAAATGTACTTTTTGTTATGATCCACGTAACATTATGTGTAACATGATCCATACAATAATTTGCCATTAACCTCCGATTATATATTTCTTCGCCTTCTAGGGATTTCAACAGATTCAGCTCAGCTGCTACACTCGTAGGAGGCTTTAATTTCCTTTCTCCCCAACCGGCAAAAGCCGCCATGGTCAGCTCGCCGTTTAATTTTCTTCAACCTTTTAATTTCCTCTCTGTATTTACACATTCGTACGTATATGGCTGGTGAAATGTATGTTGGAAAATTAAAAGATGAAGCAGCCTGGAGAATATGCTTAATGTTGTGGCTATCATTGTAGTATGGACAGCGCCTCTTGCGCTCTTCATATGGACAAGACAGCGCGTATGGCGCTTGTTTATGGACAATGCACGTCCTTTCCATTTTTGTGGAAGGGATGGAAGGGTGCTTACTATAAATAGCAGCTCCCAACATCGTTTTAGAACACACCTGAATTCGAGTCATTTATTCTATTCTCCATCTCTCTCCCGTCTGAAATTATATTGTCCCTGCTACTCTCAAGAAATCTGCCAAGCCACTCCCATGGGTGACAAGGATGGGTATCGCAGTGGCCCTAGAGATCCTCCCGGTGAGTTTGGAGGAGAAAAGGGTGGATCTCCGGCTGATTACCAGCCTGATTTTAGGGTAATTTCTCTTTCTTTAATCCTTGTAATTAAAAATTGGCTTCCATTTTTTCTTTGCCAAGCTTTTATTTCTTCATTGAGGTTAATTAGGTACTTTGTTTCATTACTGTTTGTTGTGCATTCAGCTGCTTTTAGTTTCACTTCTATTCTAGATAACCTGGCATGATCAAGTTTAAAAACCAGGTTTTCATAAATTTCCAGCAAGTGCATAGATAGATAAAGCAAATGACAATATTCATATTCTACTTTTCTACATTTTTCATTCAAAATTCCTCATGATTGGTTGGTTGATTGATTGACATAATATATATTTGCTAGTTAATTTCAATGAATAGTTACCAATTTGATAGTGCCATTGTTAGGGAAATGAAATGATACTGAGAGTTTACCTTTCTTGAATGACAACTTTGAAACTTGAAAGTATCCCCCTGACAAGAATGTGTTATTTTCTGTGATTTTAGAATTTTTCATTTATACGTAGGAACACTTTTACTATTTAGTTATGGAGAATGTAGTGTTAATAAGGAAGTTTGAATCTTAACCACTGGTTTTTACTTGTAGGGGTCTGGTGGAAGGCCTGGATTTGAACGTGGTGCCGGAGGATTTGGAGGTGGTGCTCCCCCAAGCTCTAGCTTCTCCCCTGGCAATCGCCCACGGTAAATATTGCTTTGTTTAGCAAACCATTTGTGGGGTTTAGTTGATTCATCTGGTAGTGTTGGAAAGTTGCTAGCTTTTGTTGCATTTTAATTGGATGTGGTAAATATAGTTTTGTTTAGCAAACCATTTGTGGGGTTTAATTGATTCATGTGGTAGTGTTTATAAAGTTGCTAACTTTTGTTGCATTTTAATTGGATTTGGTAAATATAGTTTTGTTTAGCAAACCATTTGTGGGGTTAAGTTGATTCATGTGGTAGTGTATAATATACATTATTTTACCACATAATATATATTATTTTAACACCGTGATCCACACAGTTGGACCACGGTCCACATAATTTGCCTAATTAAGGGTTGAAGTCGACTCCCCCAGCCCTGTCGACTCCGACTCCCCCGGCACTGTCGACTCCGACTCCCCCGACACTGTCGACCCCGCTTTGAAGCAGTTGTGCTTTACACCGATGGTTACTGTCTTACCACCGGTTCTGCCATCGGATCCAAATGTATGTATATGATTCCGTTTTTTTTTTTTTTTTTTTTTTTTTTAAACTTTTCGGTTCAAACCGCAATTATAATTTTTTAATTTTTATCATCTTTTAAGGTGGTTTCTCCTTTTATTAACTGTTGCCATGTCCCTGGTTTCTGCCGTAAGCTCTAGCTACTGGAATAGGGTAATTTACCTAAACTTTTATACTTCAGTAAAAGTAATATGCATTACATTTTATCTAGCGGCAAGGAATTACTTAAATTATCATAATATGGACTGCTGATTTCTGTGTTAATTGATAATTCCTAGTGGTTCTCTTGGCTGGATTTGGGAATTTCTACTTTAAACTTCAATTTTAACTTGTTGCCCGTTGTTTTTCAAATAATATGTACTGGACTAATTTCTTTAGTTTGAATCCTTACTCTCTTGATTTGTGCTGATTAGCTATGAATAACTTTAACTTGTTTATTTCTTTGTACCTTTTTGTTGTTTAAGACTACAAGGCTGAGTTTACCTACACTTGAAAGGGTTGTGGGGTTTCCCTCGTTGTTATTATTATTATTATTATTATTATTATTATTATTATTTTTAAAAAATAATAATAATAACAAATTAATATTAATAAAAGAAATAAAATAAAAAACTAAAACAAATAAAACATATGCGGAGCCGAACGTTCAACTCCCATTAATTTTACAACTTTTTTCACATCGGTGGGAAAAGTGGCATGGGAGCATTGGTTTCTATAAAAGGATCTAAGGCTCTAATTTAATAAGTTTGCCCATCCATTGATGGGCAAGCAGTGAGCCAGTGAAACTAGCTCTTGTTGTTCAATGAGTCGAAATGACTCTACATAATAATACTTGACTACTATTTAAAAAAAGTTTAGTAACAATTATAATGAATCCCCTATATTACATTATATTTATATACTATGAGTTACATATTTAAATAAACAAATTCGACTTTAAATTACTTATGTATGAACTTCTCATATATAATCCTGCATTGATACTTTCAAATTTATTTAATTATAAACATTGGATAGAAAAAATTAAAAAATGACCGTCAAATTATTAAATCAAATGAATGGTTCAGAACTTCAGATTGTTCTGATTTTAATTTTTTCCTTGAGATTTTCTAATTTATCCTTAAATATATGATTAGCCGTTTAATTTTTTTGTTAAATATCATTAATTCACCGTTAGTCTAATTCTAATATTGAATCATAATATAAAATTATAACTACACCATTAATCTAATTCTATTATTAAAGTCTTAATAGAACTCTAACCACAAATCCTACTGTCGGAATCTCCTCAAACTATATTAGTATATGTTTAATATTTTATTCCTTAATTTTTATCTGCTCTCCCTTATGTCCCGTATTTGGTTTCAGTTTCAACCATACCCATGCAATTATTTTATTGACAATTATAATCAATCTCGACTATATTATCTTGCAATTGTAAACTTAGAATTATCTATTTAAATACGCAAATTCAACATTCAATTATTTATGCATGAACAATTTTAATATAATCTTGCTTTGATATACTTTAAAGTACTTATTTAAAAAAAATATTAGGCATTATCACAATCGTGCAATACGCGTAAAAAACTAATATATTTATAATTATGAACAATTTTGGAATCATGTCCACCTTGCAAGATAGACACAATTTCACAACATAATTTGCCGTATATAAGTTTTTAAGTTTTTTAAAAATATAAAACAAAATAACCTCCGATCCGGCATTTACATTTATAAAATGTTACATGTAAAAGAAAAGTATACTCAAATATATGAACATGGTTATACTCAAATATGCTAAAATGCAAAACAAATGCTGTATATTTGGGTTGTACAAAAATGAGAAATGGTGAAATAGAAACGTTCTCACTAAAATTTAGATTCATTCCAATTGTCAGATGGCTTGCAATTTCATTAATGGTATATTACCGGACTATTCATATGTTGGTTGTGTGATCAATGAGTGTCGTACTTTTTATTCAACATTTTGAGATAGTGGCGTTTAATTTATCCATAGATCAGCAAATAAGTTCGCTCACACTTTTGGTAGAGTTGCTCATTCTCAGTCTGATTCTACTAGTTAGAATCTTTCTATTCCATCTTGTATAGCTCATTTGATTTAATAATATACTTTGCTTTAACCATAGCTTGCACTAGAACTTTATTTTATATATATATATATATATATATATGTATATATATATATATATGTATGTATATGTGTGTGTGTATGTATATGTATGTATACAAAACATTAGCCCGCATGGGTAGCTCAACTGGTTATAGAGGTGAAACTTTGGAAGAATGACCAGAGATCGAGTCTTAGGGGGCTTCTTGTGCGCAGTGAGCACCGGTCTAGCCATTCTTTATGTCATTAAAAATAACATTATTATTATTTTTCGAGTTTAGACACTCAAAGAGTGCAAAATGTAGGAAAAATTTTGGACGGAAAGGTAAGTTTACTTTTTGGTCACAAGGCCGATGGCGCACTTCTCAGTTAGAGAGGTGCTTCCGGCACTTCTCGGAACTAAAAAGTACGCTTCACTTCTCAGTCAATGACAAAATGTTAGAAAATATTTTTTTAAAACTGGCTTAATTTAACCTACAGAGCCATTATATTAGTTCCATTCCATTAATAAACTTAAATTTGAAAGCAAAATTTTATTATCAAGGTATGTATAAAAAATAAAAATGTTATTTTTAACGATAAAAATAATATTTAATGTGATACATAATGATTGATTGTCTATTAAACTTTTAGTAGTATATATATTAGATAAAAATAAAATGTATATGCGTATTTATGAAATTTACAGAACTTATTATAAAACTTGATAAAAATAGAGGAAAAATTTGTATGTTTTGACGGAGGGAAAAAGTCTATAGAGAAAGTTAAAAAAATTTGAGGTTGGATTGTGGGATTTTAACTATTCATATTTGTGAAAAATATATACAACGATTCTAAATTTATAGAGTCTAAAAAATGAAAATATACACAATGAAATTAAAAAGAAAATAACCTCCCATCCGGCAGTGATCAAAATTGACAAAAATTACATACTGAATGTACTAAATTAACACTTTTAAAAATTAGGTGCTGAAACTAACAAAATTCCTATAGTCGTATGACTAAAATTATAATTTTCTCTATTAAAAATGTACTTTTTATTTATGGTCCATGCAATAATGATTGTGACCCAACACAAGTACTCACCAAAGCCCAATAATATTAGCCCAAATATAGGCCTACCCGCCAATTTCAAACCCATTTTAAAACTAAATTAATTCGTTACTGAATCGGCTAAGATTAGTAGATGACACCATATCCTCTACTCTCATCTTCATCTTCCCAACCCCCTCAAACCTACCTGCAAATGAACTCCATCACCTTGCAAGGCGTTCATATCTTCCAGCTTTCTCCGTATGTTCAAGTTCGCCGCAGAAGCCCCGCGGTTTTCAAATTCAACCTCAGCCACTTCCCCCGACCTTCTCCGCGACGCTCGAGTATCCTCCGCTCCCGGAAGTACCCCAATTTCGAGGTTCTGCAATCTGCATTTCGTTGCTTGGAGCTCAAAATGTGTTAGGAACGTTGTAGTGTTATGGTTTGCTTGAATTTTGTTTTGTTTTTTTTTTTTTTTTTTTTTTTTTTTGGGTTTATGTGCAGGTGGTTCGGTGCTCGATTCGGGAAGGTAGAGTCTTGGAGCTCGAGGATGCAGCATTGATAGTGTCGACTTGTATTACTCGGATGTTTCCTCCGGCATTGACGCTGGAGCAAGGGTTGGAGAAGATTGAAGAAGCTGTTGAGGAGTTGAAGGCGAACCCTCCTGCTTGTGCTTTTGGGATGCTAAGATTTCAGGTAGTGAGGATCATCTGCTCAGTTTTAAATTTTAAATTCATTTGTTCGGTCCCAATGAATTCTGTCAACTTTGGTTAAGAAAACTAGATTTCTATTGGAACTCATTAAGTGAGACTTTTTGTGTAGTTAGGCATGGGAATTCTGTATTTGAGGAAACTTTGGCAGAAACAGAAAGAGGGCATTGTTATTTTGATGAATGTTGTATATTTTCATGTAGTGCTTGTATGGACTTGGGAATTCTGTATTTGAGTAGGGAGAGACACGGCAGTGTTTATTCACTAAAACTCTCGATTTTGAATATACACATATAGCTCTTGAAAATTATTTAGACTAGACTTTTTAATTGGTGGTTGTTTCCCAAAAATTCATCATGGAATTCTTGGTTGATACTGCTCCTGTCACACTCATAGGTTGCAGTTCCACCTAGTCCAAAGTCTTTGAACTGGTTCTGCTGTCAGCCAGAGTCATCAGCAGTGTTTCCAATAATCTTTCTTTCCAAGGAGAGGGACAATCCGACCTATAAATCACTTGCTTTGGGTAGAACTCATGGAGTCTTTGGAATTGGTTCTGCAATCAACTTCAAGGGCCCTTCTTCAACCACTGCTGGAGAATTGAGTGAAAGTGGAAGGTAGTTTTGTCTCTTATTGTTACGTCACTAATTTTTTTTGCATATGATATCTCAAATCATGATTGAAAAAACCCTTAGTTCACTTAGTCAACTGTAAAATGATTTTTTTTTTTTTTTTTTTTTTTTTTTTTTTTTGATGAGTAAAGAAAGTGTAACAAGTTTTTTAAATATCAAAGAAAGATATATTGAGTCAGTGAACATTGCGAAAATAAATGTTTTTTTATGATAACATTTGCAATGATTCCAATGACAAAGAATAAAGGAACCTTAATGTTTTGGAATTAGGGTTAAACAAAATGGATTTTAATGATTTTGTAAAAATATTTGGTGAAATTGTCCCTTTATTCTTATAGTATCTAATGGTAGATTTATAACTTGATTCTGAAAGAAGATTAATGACACTTTTCTCTTTAAATAAGGTGAACCATTGATAGTTATGCCGATATGTTTCCGTTTTTCTAAATATTTAGGGGCTTATTGCTTTTTGGGTATTAATCCTGTTAAAGTGTCATGTTCTGTGAAGAATGAAGGCGGTTCTACATTAATTTTGATAAATTGGTACTTCTGCAGATATGTTTCCATTGATCCAAAACTTATAGTGGCTTATGGATTTTTCGGTATTGATTCTGATAAACTGCTGTCTTTCATGAAGCATGAGGCTGGCTCAGATTACTTTTTTGTTCCCCAGGTAATTTTAGTTTTCTTCCTTTTTATTGGTATATTACTTTTTTTCACAATTTTTTCTTTGTTTTTGTTGATATCTTTCATAAATATTTGAAGCTGACGCATGAATATATTTCACAAGTTGCCCATTCTTGTTCTTATATATGAGCTACTCCTAACATATGCCCACAATCCCCACATGTAAATTGAGAATTTTATTTTTGTAGATTACATTAGATGAGGTTGGAGGTACTTCAATCTTGGCTGTGCAACTGGCATGGAATGATTCATCTATGTGCAACTTTGAAGAGGCTCTTCAAACATATGATGTCTCTCTTCTCCAGGTATTCTTTTGATCCTATATTTATGTGCTGTATTTATTGATTACAAGTTTTTTTATGACTTAAAATTTTTAAATTTGAATTTCTGATTGCATCATCTGTCCTTATCGCCATTCTTTTTTGAAATTTTTATCTGTGCACTCCCTCTTTTGTCTAAATGAATTTGGAAGCAAGATACATCTGTATATAGTTCAATTTTCAACCGAATTGATGTCTATATATGTTACCTTTTAAAACAACGTGTTCTAACTTGACTCTTGCTCTTCTGTACATCCTTTTTGAACCTAACATTTACAAAAAGGTCTAGTTTATCTCTTTTTAATTTCTTATTATATTTTGAAAAACTTTGATATGATTCATCTTATCTGTTTGCTCAACGTTGATGTTTCTTTTTGATGTCTAAAATTTTTAATCTATTGTTTCTCTTTTTATATTTAAATTTTCAGGCCAAACATAGCTGTTGCACCAAATCAGGAGGATGCAGCAGCAAACACATTAGCAGTACTCTTGGGAAATTTAACACACTAGGGGATGAAAATATCCAAATGGTAATACAGTTTAGTTTTGAAATCTGACCCCTGAAACTATAATTCACATTGTTCTTTTTTTTTTTTTGGGTTTCTGATTGTTATTGCTTGCCTAAGTTTGGTTTTTTCTTTTGCTTTTTTTTTTCTCCCTTTAAATCTTAATTTAATTCTCATTTATGTTCTGATTGTGAAAGCTGATAGGTTAATTATTCAAATATTCCAAGCTTATTATAATCGTTCCCTAAGAAAAATAATAATTATGCAGCTGTTCCTTCAAATTCATTCCAATGCAAATTTCTTTTGTAGGTATGCATCACTCCACTCCAGCTGGTTAGAAATTATCTTGGACCAAGCAATGTGGAACTGGTATCCCCTTTATCCTGGTAATTGTTGTTCCTCTAACTTTTTGAAGTCTACAAGCTGTCTATTTCTACTCTTTTCTGCACATACAAAATGGTCTTGCTACATTTTCATATTCTCGATGCAGATTGAACTAAATGGTTTCTGCTATCTATTTAATGCACCTGTTTCATGCAGAAAGAGGTTACGTGCTGTTCCAGTCAGTTCTTCGTGAGGCTTTCACCCTCTTTGACTATTGCAAATAACATGGTATGCAAGGTTTGAAGTTTTGATTGCTGGAATGAACTAACCCACTTCATGAACTTACCATTTTATATGTAGCTGCTTGAGTGATATATTTTGTGAATATTTTTTTACAGTAACCTTATTGTCCAATTGATGGGAGTGGTGGAAGAAATTTTCATTTTTCCTAGGTCATCCCTAGCTAAACAAGGAAACTATTTTTACCCTTGAAATATTTCCCTCCCATTACTTTTCCTATCCAGTTATCCTTATGATGCTCCCAGACTCCCTCCTATTATCAATCAAAAGCAAGGGAATATAATCATTCGCTTTTCCAGTTTTCCTGCATCCTCAATACAGTGAAAAAAAAAAAGATAAACCATTTTTTCTTGATGATGTATATCTAGCAGTTAATATCATTTTGGTGTGTAATCAAGAAAATGTATGTTGTAAACAATATTGTAGTTTACCATAGACAAATTTTACTGAAGCCATTTGGTATTATGACTCTTTTACAGTGTCACTGCAATCATCTAAATGAAGTTGAGTACATAAAGCAAAAATGGGCCAACATTAATTTCTTGTGGGCATCTCTTATAATTGAAGAATGCAACCGACTTGGTTTAACGGTGAGGCTTCTTTCAATAACCGGGTTTACTTTATTGGGTTACAAACATCTAATTAATTCTACATCTAGTATTTTTGTATAGCTCCAGGCTCAAGGTCATCTCCCCTAGCAATTGCCGCTTCTACTCATCCAACTACAACTTGTATTGCATGCATAGATGAGCGTTCACTTTCATTTCATGCTGTTGGTTATGCCAAAGGTTCGCAGAGACCTGCAGTTGTCATAACATCATCAGGCACGGCAGTTTCAAATCTCCATCCTGCTGTGAGTTTAATTAAGTAGTACTGTATTACATTTATTTTATCTTTCCCTTTCCCAAATTTAAAATGTTTTGTAGTTCTCTGTTTAAGGGAAAAAAAAAAAAATCAAATTGATTTGCTAGATATATTATAGCTTATATAAATTGTGGTTTGACTTCCATTGTTCTATGGTAATTTGCAGATTGTTGAGGCAAGTCAAGAATTTGTCCCACTTCTCATTCTTACAGCGGATCGTCCTCCAGAGTTGCAAGATGTTGGAGCAAATCAAGCCATCAATCAGGTTTTTTTCCCCCTAATAATTTGAAGTATAATAGCCACTGCTCTGTTAACACTTATGGGTTGAATTGCAAAAAAGGAGATCAGACGCTCAGTTCAGTGTAAAATATGTCACGTATAAAGCTCTACATGAAATTCATTTCTGATAAAAAACAGCTACTAAGGTGACTACAGAAACCTCTAATGAATGAGATCTGCTTACATTGCTGAATGTTTGCTGGACTTTAAACCATTATTTAACTTCGAATATGAAAACTTGAAAAGGTTATGAAAGTTGGAAAATTTTTCATTTCAACTTTAGTTGTTCTTCAATATAAAAATTCATGTAATAAATATTCATATTTTCAAATGTTTCTGTTGATTTATAAATATTTATTATATTCAAAATATACTCCTTAATATTTATGTTTTCTGTTAGTATTTTTAATGTTCTGAGTATCTTTCATTTTTGTATATCAGGTCAACCACTTTGGTCCATATGTAAGGCAATTTTTCAATTTACCTACACCAACTGATGATATTTCTGCAAGGATGTTGCTTACCACAGTTGACTATGCTGTTCATATTGCAACCTCTTCACCATGTGGTCCAGTCCATATCAACTGCCCATTTCGGGAACCACTAGATAATAGTCCAAAAACATGGAAAGATTGGTGTTTAAGTGGGTTAAATGTTTGGATGTCAACCGCTGAACCTTTTACTCGCTACTTTCAAGTCCAACATCCATTTGAATGCAGCTATGCTGACACAGACATGGCTGAGGTTTTGCAAGTGATACAAATGGCAAATAAAGGCCTTTTATTGCTTGGAGCTATTCATGGAGAGGATGATGTATGGGCAGCGCTTCTCCTTGCCAAACACCTTTCATGGCCAGTTGTAGTTGACATCTTGTCAGGTCTACGTTTGCGGAAGTACATTGATCATTTTCCTGGAATTGAAAATAAAGTCTTGTTCATTGATCATCTAGACCATTTACTCCTCTCAGATTCAGTCAAGGACTGGATGCAAGCTGATGTGATAATTCAGGTGATGTGATGTTTGATGACATCTTTATTTCCTATCTATGATATGAAGAAACGTCTAGTTTTAGATTAACTGATATTCCTTAGGAAAGTGATTATATGAACTCCTTGACCTTTCTGGTGAAGAAGCCTTTTAGTTGAGTTCTTAAAGAACCTATTTCTTTTAGAGGTCTTATGATCTATTTTTCCAGACACCTAGCCATCCTTTGCAATATGCTTCTGATCACATCTTTAATCATTATTACTCATTATCTTCTTTAGTATTAAAAGATGGAGAATTTAGAAAATTTCACTCCTGTTGTTCATCTTAGATTTTAATTAAGTTGACATCACATAAATAAATCTTTTCACAACTATGCTAATGCTTATGTTCTGTGAAAACTGCTCAACTAGGCAATTTATTTATTTATTGTTCTAACAGATTGGAAGTCGTATTACAAGCAAGCGTATCTCACAAATGTTAGAGAGTTGCTTCCCATGCTCATATATAATGGTTGACAAACACCCAAGTCGTCATGATCCTCAGCATATTGTAACACATAGGATACAGACTACTATCACTCGTTTCACAAACTGTTTACTTAAAGCTTGTGTACCACATACTGGCAACCGATGGAGAGGCTTTCTGCAAGTATTGAATACGACGGTATGCAATTCCAGGAATTAAAGTCATTGGATCAATAAGAAATGTGTTATCTATTCATCTAACAATGTTTAGTGTAAATGTGAAACACTATTATAAAAATCATTTCCATCTTTTGGCTCTAGTAAAAATTCAACATATTACCTGTTGGGCAAACAATTGAACTTGTTAAGGAACTTTCAAGACATCCCCCCCCCCCCCCCCCCCCCCCCCACACACACACACACACACACACACACACACACACACATACACACACACAATTTATGTCGTTGTCTGGGCAGAGAGGTGAATTGATTTTGAATACTAACCCTGATTTCAGGGGTTAATGGAGCCAGTTTTCCATGAAGCAAACAGTCAAGTGTATTATAGAATTGGATTTAAATGATACTACTTCTCATCCAGTTGTCCTGTCTTCAATTATTTTGCTAACCTTCTCTCTCATTGCGATAGGCTGCCTGGGAGATATCCTTGTTAATCAATTCTGAGAACTCCCTCACTGAACCTTATGTTGCACACATCCTTCTGGAAGCTATTTGCTCTGAATCTGCTATCTTCTTTGGAAACAGCATGCCAATCCGTGATGCAGACATGTATGGATGGAACGGGCCAGAATGTGACCATAATTTGGCCATCATGATGGGGTCAGGGTCTTGTCACTATATACAAGTTGGTGCTAATAGAGGTGCTAGTGGTATTGATGGTTTGCTAAGCACTGCTATTGGTTATGCTGTTGGCTGCAACAAAAGAGTAAGCACAACATGATCTCTTTCCTAATTAGATGAGAAATCTGGAGAGTTGTCTTGTTAGTTATTGTCCCATTCAATCCTAGTTTATACCCATAGTTATTCTGCTTTAGCAAATGCTATAGATTTAATAGTTTATGCTTTCTTTCAATCACAAGAAGCCTCACCAAGTTAGCACCTTTTATCCTCTTCTACTTTCCAAGTTGCTTGCAAAACCAAGTTAGTACCTTTTATCCTCTTCTATTTTCCAAGTTGCCTGCAAAAGTACATTAATGTGAATATGCAGCTTGGCATTTTCTCATGCCAAATATCCTTATTTTGTTTCATTGCTTAAGGGATCTTGGCAAACTATACTTGCTCTTTTGTTCATTTGACAATTTCCACTACTTATTTAACTGAACAATATCTTTTTACATCAAGAACCTGAGCTATATTTTTTCAATTATCTCTCCCATTCTCCTTTTAGCTTTCTCACTTGAAAAGTTATCTTGCTGCTTTCAGTATTTACACCTATGAAGTAATAGAGAACACTTATGTGCTTCTTTGCAGCTTCTTTCTGTAATTGGAGATGTTTCTTTTCTGCATGACACAAATGGATTGTCCTTGTTGAGACAAAAGTAAGTTCGTAATCGTTTTATATATTCATAAGATGATATATTAAGTTGCACAATCTCTTCATTTCAATTGTTAGAACTTAGAAAGTAGTATACAGAATTTTATTTCAAAATGTAATTAGATTTGTGGTATTTAAAGTATTCCAAGGAAGCCAATGGCAATAGTTGTCATAAACAACCATGGTGGAGCAATCTTCAGTCTTCTCCCTGTGGCAGGCAATACCGCAAGAAACATTTTAGACCAGTACTTTTACACAACTCATGATGTTTCAGTTCGGAATCTATGCATGGCACATGGGTAAGAGCATTGTGTTGTTGGTGCACATTATATATGAGTAGAAGACAGTCGATCTTTTTTACTACTCTGTAGTTATTTTAATTGCATTTGCTTGGTTGTTATTACCTATTTGGTTAAAAATGTTTTTGAAATGCAGTGTGAAACATGTACAAGTAGGGACAAAGATGGATTTAAGAGATGCTTTATTCACTTCTAAAACACAAAATGAAGATTGCGTCATTGAAATTAATAGCTCCATTGATGACAATGCATCCTTTCATAGGTATGACTGAAGAAATTATATACTCAGCCAAAGCTATGTTGCATTTCTCTGATGATCCATTTCCTCCTGTTTTAGTACTTTGAGAAAATTTACACGCCAAGCTGTGGATCATGCTTTGAGCAGCCTTTCAAGGATTTCAGTTTCAGGTTTTTTGGTTGATGGCTTCATGCTCTACAAAGTTGGTAAAATGGAATATTCCCTTTATAGGTGAGGTTTAAAAATATTCAACTTATTACCTATGGTCAGAATCCAAAAAATTAAATTTCCAAATCTGTTTTGTGGTAGAGTTCAGCTGTGCTCTCCTCCTACTTCAGCTTCAGCCAGTAACAAATCTTCTGCTTTCTTCCGAGAAGGCTTTATAATAAGTTTGTCTCTTGCAGATGGTGGCACTGGTTTTGGGGAGGTAAGCTTACTATTAACTTCACTTCTTTTCTTTGTTAGGGGTGGGGGCATTTGTTTACATCATGAATCAGCTATAATAACGTGAGCACATGACATAACACTGAAGATTTCTTCAGCGAAAGTAAACTAGGAAAATAATTTGGTTCTTCTTGCATTAGTAATCATTTTTGAGGAAATATGCTTATGTCAATGATGTCCCTCTCTCTCATCTTTATTTGAAATTGGTATTGCAATTCTCCAACCTTTATATCAAGCTTCTTTAGAATCAAGAAAATCAAGAAAACATCTATTTTCTTGATTCTCATTTGGCGCTACTAAACAGGTAGCACCTCTAGAGATTCACAAGGAAAACCTGTTTGATGTTGAAGAGCAACTCCAATTCCTCACTCATTCTATTGAAGGAGTTACAATTCAACATTTTCTTCCTTTGCTGAAAGGTTCATTCTCTTCATGGTTGTGGCATACTTTAGGAATTCTGGTATGTAAATGCATCCTTATTCTTCACCTAATGAGGTCAAGTGCAATCACTTGCAATACCATCTGATATCACTTTTCAATTTGTTTGTAGCCAAGTTCAATCTTTCCAAGTGTCCGGTGTGGCCTGGAAATGGCTGTTCTCAATGCTATTGCAGCTAGTGAAGGTTCTAGTTTATTGAATATACTCCACCCACAAACAATAGAGTTATCTGGGAGGCCATTAGATGTCAAAATTTGTGCACTTCTTGATGGTAATGGGAGTCCAAAAGAGATTGCTTGTATGGCAGCTGATCTTGTAAAAGAGGGTTTTACAGCTCTAAAGCTTAAGGTAAGAATTTTTTACAAAGAAAGGTGACTGGGATTAATATTTAACAGAAAGGAGTGGAGCACTACTTGATCTTATTGATTTATTCAGTACCAGATAGTTAGAACTGTTGCTCATATTTATTTAAATATGGAGTATTACATTTTTTTTTTGGCATATAGGTTGCACGCCATCATGATCCCAATCAAGATGCTTCAGTTGTACAGGAGATACGAAAGAAAATTGGTGGAGAAATTGAACTTCGTGCTGATGCAAACCGGAATTGGTCCTATGAGGAAGCCATTCAATTTGCTCATTCTGTAAAAGATTATTGTCTGCAGTATATTGAGGTATTGTTCTAAGGATATGTCCAAACTTTCAGTTCAGTAAACCTATTGAAGATTTGCATATTACCAGAGTCATCTAGATGCCAAACTATAGAATTAAATACCCAATTCGTGGTGACATTATCTGTATGTTAATTATGATATTTATTTTTAAAATTGTTTTATTCCAGGAACCTGTTAATAGTGAAGAAGATATAATCAAGTTTTATGAAGCAACTGGCTTACCTGTGGCTCTGGATGAAACCATCAACAATTATAGAGAAAATCACTTTGAAATGCTTTCAAAGTACACACATCCTGGGATAGTTGCATTTGTAAGTGGGTTGAATTCAACCATCCATTGCTATAAAATCAGACTGATCTTTTAACTCTGAATGTAAATCAATTTTTTCATAATCATTCTGTCAGGTTATCAAGCCAAGTGTCATTGGTGGCTTTGAAAATGCAGCACTGGTTGCCCGATGGGCTCAGCAGCTAGGGAAGAATGCTGTTATCAGTGCCACATATGAAACTTCCCTGGGTTTATCAGCTTATGTTCAGTTCTCCCGTTTTATTGACCTGCAAAACCTAGATATACTTCGAATCACTAGTAAGGAAGAAAGTCTGTCAATTGCCCATGGTCTTGGAACTTACAAATGGTTCAAGGAAGATGTGAGCACACTGCCATTAGTAACTCGTTGTAATCCATCCTATGGTTTTATGGAGGCATCTATTGCTGATGCTGATCGACTCCTCAAGGAATTTCAATTCAATCAGAAAGCAGTTGTTCGCAGTTCTACTAATGCAGAAATTTCTACATATCAGTTGAAAACTGACCTGGACAGTGTTTCCATCTCCATTAATGTCCATGAGATTGGAGAAAGTGCAAATGTAGGTAACTTGAAGTATTATTTTATTTTTATTTTTTTGCCTTAAGAACATTTTATTTTGAAGTATTGTACTTCTAGTCTCCTCATCATCTATATTTAGCACATCACTACCTTTTCTACACACCATAATTTCGAAGTAGCATACTATCACATTTGCTTGATAAGATTGTAGCCTATTTGTACAAGCATGAAGGATGGATACAACTATACTTATACCTCTTAATTTTTGGATTCATGCAGAATAATGTTATTGTCTTTCTGCACGGTTTCCTTGGAACCAGTGAAGATTGGATTCCAATCATGAAAGCCATGTCAGGCTCTGCCAGATGCATTTCAATTGACCTCCCTGGCCATGGCAGATCAAAGCTGCAAGATCGGGCTGGTAATGATGTTATGGACGAATCAACTTTTTCAATCGAAGCCATTTCCACTATCTTGTGCAATTTGCTTGGCAAATTACATCTCAAGAAAGTAATCCTTGTTGGATACTCCATGGGAGCCAGGATAGCATTATACATGGCACTAAGGTGCAATGCCACGGTATACATGACCCACTCCTGATTTAGTTTTATTCTTTACAAGTTTCATGCAAAATTCTAAGGTGCAGTTCATACCTGGTATGGTATCGGATATGATCAGCACCATAGAAGTTCCATCAGTTTCATATCTGATTCCAGCATGTTTTATAAAGGTTGAAGGAGCTGTCATAATCTCTGGAAGTCCTGGACTAACAAATCCAGTAGAACGAAAATTGCGCAGAGCCAAGGATGACTTTACTGCATCATTCCTGGTTTCTTCAGGCCTGGAATCATTTATAGACAGTTGGTATGCTGGGGACCTCTGGAACAGGTACCTAACAGTTTGTGTTTAAGATACGCTATTAGTTTATGGTGCTTAAACACTCATGCTATTGTTTGACTACTTCATAATGTAATTGCATTCTGCAGTTTAAGATGTCATCCACACTTCAAGAACATAGTTTCCACCCGCTTGCAACACGATAATCTGGAAACTCTCGCGAGAGTTCTGTCTGACTTGAGCATTGGCAGGCAGCCGTAAGTTCCTATCATTATAGTGATGATGCTTAGAAAATACTACATGCATTCCCGCTTTTTTTATCCCATTTTTTACTCTGCTGAAGTGTGGGTTTTGATTGCTCCAAACCAAAAAGTGGGTGCAGTTTTTATTCATTCCTTTTCTTCCTCCAATAAAATCATGACATGTTACACGAGTTTTACTCTAACCTTCGTGAATTGTGATGACAGGCCATTATGGGAAGACCTGGAACACTGCAAACTACCACTTCTACTCATAGTTGGAGAAAGAGATGCCAAATTCAAGACCATTGCTCAGAAGATGCACGATGAAATCAACCAAAATGCAACTATAGATTGTCCAGAAATGATTGAAATCCCTTCCTGCGGGCATGCAGCACACCTTGAGAATCCGCTTCGGGTCATCAGTGCAATAAGCCAGTTCATGAGGAAGGTGAAGAACATGGTTGATTAAAGCCAGATATTACAAGTTCTGGTAACTCGAATCCTAAGAGTTATTATTGCAGTGTAAACTTATTTAAGCTTTTGTGTTCACCTTGTTCATTTCATTGCGAAATGAATGTCTAGCACAATACATATGAATATTTAGTTGTGAACTGAAGATGGTATGACTATGAATTTATATTGACACTTGGATATAATTACATGCATGTTCATGCATAGTGTACCCATTTGGCTATTTGTATTCCAGATGCTTAGGCAACATACATAATACATTTGAGTGTTTGATCAATTCCATGTAAGAGTATAGTAATTAATTAGTAATTGGAGAATAATTATTTTGATTAAAAAAAAAATCATATTAGTCTCTTTTTAAAAAGGAGTAGAAATGGCAATGGAGCGGAGCATATGCTTTATCTCTGCCTAGCATGGTGAAAGAATTCTTCACCATCCTTGTCCTCGACAGAGATTGAAAAAATGTTTGTCCCTATTATTCAAATTTTATCTTATCCTTTCCCCCTTAGGGTCAGGTGAGATTGTCATCCCTAATGAGAAGAGTAAACGAGCAATAATGAGGAACACCAAGTTTGGAGGGACAATTTCCATGGAATTATTGGTTAGGGTTTAATATACAATATGTGTTCACTTGATGAGCTAAAGACAGTAGTCCAAAAACTGTAACCTTCATTTGAAGGGTAAAAACAAAAAGGTATTCCAAAGATGAAATGCAAAACTTCCAAGTTTCAACTTGATGTTGGATTTTCTTGTGTGTTCATGCCCATTTTGGTGCCATAGAGGATAAAATTTACACCAACATCATCTGATATTGACCAGTGATTAGTCAAAGGATTGTACGTAAACCCAGCCATCTCTTGGACCTAAACAAAGGCAGGGGAAGAAAATACAGTCACAACTAAAATTAACCCAAGAATAGGATATCATAGAAGATTTCACTGACCGATATAGAACAGCGTTGAAGAATCAGGACTAGTTCTTCTGGCGTGAGAAAGCTCGACCATTGATGTGTACCTATAGGAAGCTGCAAAGGCCATTTATAATGTTAACACAAACTTTGAAGCATGTATAGTGATTGTGATCTAGCAAGGAGATCACGAGACAACTAACTTTAAATTAGAAGAAATAAGACAGCCTTTCAGGAGATTAGAATAAAAAGAACAAACTAATTAAGTATTAAAGGTATGGATCAAATCCTCATACCCAATGTAGGATATACTCTGCTGCAATGATGGTTGCCGCATAAGCCCTCAATGAACGATTAATTGTTGATATCACTGTAGCACCGCTATCAACAGTCAACTCTGACAAGGATTTGCTGAATTCAGCAGGATCAGCCACATGTTCAATCACCTGGTGAAAATAAAAATTTGGTAGGCAAAGCTAATGTCTAATAGTTCCATATAGGTAAAAAAATTTAGGAGTTGATTAACAATGTGATGTATGGACTATATGTTTAGATATATAGCAATTAATCATATATGTTGGACACATGAGATCAATAAATGATGTAGGAGAGTGTAAAACAAAATACATCAAATAAATGTTTCGAAGCAAGTAAGTGCTGGGAATGAGGAAAGCATTTGATTCCCATATTAAGTATAACCTGAAGAAGTTCTAACAGAATAAAATCACTATGGTTTCTGATCATACCTCTAGAGAAATTACAGCATCAAACTGCCTCTGTTCTTCCACCAAATTTTCTGGCCACATAATTGGCAATTACATCACCTTCTGAAGATATACACTTCGGTTTGACAAGTATAGCAGTTGAAATAAAGAAATGAGATACTTATGTGGCTATGCTAATCCTAAAATCTCACTAGTATAGAAAATAATCAAAAATAGTCAATTAAATAGCCTCCGGGCTGTGCAAAGATGGGTCACAGATCAAAACATTACACATGCAGCAACCTCAACAAAATTAACAAAAGGTAGCAAAAAATTTATGAGCATACCAGCAGTTGTGCAACGATATTCAATTGATGAAGTTATTGGATCCAAATCCTGACAAATATGGATGTTCATAAGTATCCAAACTCAAAAAGTCTAAAATAATTTGGTGACACTAATTATTTCAATGCCAACAAGAGACTGGGAACAGTTTGATGCCAACTGCATACTAGCACAAGCACTATTCATTAGCACATCATATGATACATTCATACAAGTGCTTAGAACAAGACATTGTACTTTTTCTTTGTTTTTAGTTTTTTACAGGATGGCTTAGCAGTACAAAATTCGAAATGCCTATAAGAATCTTAGAGGAAAATAACAAATATAAGATATAACATAAAAACATACCGCATGAAGCCGTGCAATCTTGATATTTTTATCCACAGCATCAATTCCCATTACGGTAGCCCCCATTCGAGCCAGAGGCTGCACTATGAAGATATAAATTGCATATATTTACAGAAAAGCATATAAAGACTTTCTCCAATAGACAACACTGTCAATAGAAACGCAATCTGATTTTTTTTTTTTTCAATTCGTTAGAATGTTGAGTTGACATTCATTGCTTTCCATACTTGTCAGAACTTCAGAAGGTATACCTCAGATAAAATTCCCCCTCCACAACCAACATCCACAAACTTCAGTCCTTGGAAAGGTTTAGCAGAATAAGGATCCCTTCTGGAAAAAGAAAATAAAAGAAAAAAAGGGGGGGAAAGAGCAGTTATTAGCCCCCACCTGAAGAAAAGAAAAAAAAAAAACATCTACTGGGGAGAAAGAGCAGTTATTATCACCCACTCATAAAAAAAGAGAAAGAACATCCACAAACTTCAGAAAAGATAACTTCTTGAGCTAGTGAATTTTGAAAATAAAGAACCAAAGCCGGATCTTTATGAGGTTGAAAATCTTCTTGATATCACTGAGGCTATGAATCCAGATATACCATGCTTTGAAATTTGAATGTTAAGACAGAAACTAAAAGCAAGACAAGAGAAAAGGAGAAATCTTTAGCATGAGACAGTGCTTCAAAGCACATACACTGCATATTTCCAACAATTTCTAACTTAAAACTGCCCTTAACATTACAGACTTTGCTTAGCAAAACAATGAATGCAAATGAATTGCCACATAAATTATTAAACCTTTTCTACTTATCTGAAGAGTTTAGTTTACAAAATTACCCGAAATGCCGGCAAAGTGTGGACCTGATGAAAGCAAGTCTTGTAGGATTCATCTTATGCAATGGCTTGAATGGTCCTTCGGAGTCCCACCTATTTTTTCGAATGATTAAAATATGAAAAAATAAATTAGCTTCAAAATATAATAAATGTTTAATTTAGAAAAAAAAAAAAAAAAAAAAAAGAAGATGAAATCATCGGAAAAAAAATAAAAATAAATCAGTATTCACTAACCAAGTTTCAGCTATGGCGGAGAACTTGGCAAGTTCAGCTTCGTTGAGAGAGCTTGAAACGGACTTGCTCTTAGCTGCAACTGAGGAAGGATTGATCGTTGTTCGCTGGGAAGTTTCCGAATAAGGCCGCGAGTGAAGGAGAGAGTGCAGCCTTTGCAATGGGAGATAAAGGGTAGATATAGGATTTCCAGAATGGAGAGTTCGAGCCTGAGCCTGACCCCATTGAGCGAGCCTGATTAGCGCTTGGTGACGCTTAAGGAGAAGCTTTGAAGCCATGAAGACGACGGTGAAGCTGTTAAGCTCCGGCGGGGTTTCAGAAAATGGCCGGAGAATATAGATCTGTATTTAAAGATTTGGGTCGCAGTTAATGAACAAGAAAAGAATTGGGCCGTAAATACTGGCTAACGGACCGGCCCGGCCCAAAGTTGCAATAGATACAATAGTGGGGAGAGCTACTTGTAACTCACACACTGCCGGTCGCCGCCTGCAGCTCGTCGCCAGTCGGAGTCTTGGACAAGACTCGCAGCCGCAAGAGAGATTTAATTATTACCAATTAAATTTGAGATTTTGAGAGTTAGGGTTTGGTAATTGATATATATAGTTGGGGTTATATAGTAAATATGAAATTATTTTAGGTGTAAAATATAATATATAATAATTTAATATTAAACATAAATTTATTATTATTAAAAAAAAAAAGAGGGTCAAATAAATCTAAAATTCGATTAGATCTCCAAACTTTTAAAAAGTGCAATTACAGTCTTTTGATCAATTACATGCTATTACAGGTCATTTTAATTTCTATGAAAAAATCTGCGTCAGTCGGCGGTCGCCGATCGCCATATGCCATAAAAGGCCATCGGTGCGACCAACTAGCTATCTTCCCCGGCAAAAGGCAACCACGGATTAAGCACCTTATCCATTAGGTGATGGCCTCATGGGCGCGGTTAAATTGCATATCACAAAGTATAATCTTTAGCCGTGTAATAAATCATTGCAATATAATTTAAACTAACACATTCCAAGCAATTTTTCTAATTTGTAAGTTTTCCCCATTTCTAACAGGTCATCCAATTTAAAATATTTTTTAAACATAATTTGAAAAAAATAATTAATTAAAAAAAAAAACATCGTCTCTGCCGAAGCCGAAGAAGGTATCTTCGTCTCCATGGCTGGAGACAAAGATCCCTTCTTCGTCTTTGGCCAGAGACGAAGGAGGAATCTTCGTCTCCGGTGGAGACGATGTTTTTTTTTTTTTTTTTTTTTTTTTAAATATTTTAAAATTTTAGTTTATTTTAATTAATTATTTTAAAAAAAAATCGAATGACCTATTAGAAAGGGGAAAACCTGCAAATTGGACAAATTATTTGAAATGTGTTAGTTTAGAGACTCAATTGTAGCTTTTTGAGTTCAGTGACCTAATTGAATTATCGTGTGCAGTTTAATGGCCTATTTGACACTTATTCTTAATTTTTATATGTTTCTTTTAATACCATACTTCATCTCTCAAATTTGAATCTCAATAATAATAAAAATAAAAATAAAAAACTCGAGATCTTACTTACAACAAATCAAAATCCTAATGGATTATACCTATTCGATCGATCATGTAGTCCAATGTATGGGCTAAACAGCCATATCTAGCTAATTGAAGAGAGTCACTTAGAGCATCCACAAGTGTTATTTTTTGAAGGTTTTTTCAGAATAAAAATTTAAATGATTGTTTTTATTGATGTTGGAGATGAGTTTTTAGAATGTTTTTTTTTTTTTTTTTTTTTTTTTCTTGCAAATGGAGTAGCTGAGTTGCTACATGTGGGGTGCAACCAGCGCATGTCACGTGAAGTTTTTTTTTTTTTTTTTTTTTTTTTACTTTTCAAATTTAGGTGTCAGATTTATTTGTTTTTTTCCTTCTTTTTTCTTGCCCTCTTTCTCTTTTCTAGTTGTAACTTTAAAAATCGTGAAAACAATGGAGCTAATATGGATGACAAAGGAAAAGTGTCGAGGGTGCATATAGGCCAACTAACCAACCTCGAGGGTCAAATATGAGAGGACATTTGGAAGCGAGTTGAATTTAGCATAAATATAAATAGCACATTGACTTCACTCAATAAAACATTTTATATATACTCATTTCATTACTTGTATCTCACTCAAGTCTTGTATCCAATCGTCTAAATATTTCTACAATCGACCAATTGGCACTTTCTTTTATATATATATATATATATATATATATATATATATAGAGAGAGAGAGAGAGAGAGAGAGAGAGAAAATATTTGATGCACTGGCGTTTTATAAGTGCTATACAACGGCGGTGAACTAGAATGCGCCACCTCATTAAATTGTAAACTCAACTTTGACGGGACCCTTTTATGCAAATTATAATAATCTTAATATAGTATAATTATAATTATTTTATTTTATTAAAAATAATTATTATAATCATTTAAAACTAAATAATATTAATCAGAGAATGTTCAATATTATTTTCTGGCGGCGGTTTATTTTCCTCGGCCTTCATAGAAAGTTCAATACATTCTGGACGCCCTTGGAGACCATGTTCATCCCCATTGCATCTCCGGTGGTACGTGAATCTCATGTACCGATTCTTGCAGGCAATGACGCATTTGATGCTCTGGAGCCTGGCGACATGGCTAGCTTTGTTAAAAGCATCAGATAGACACTACTGGAAATTATGGAATTTTCGACCACCTGAAACTGATCTTAAATCAAGTTGATATCAACAAGTGGTCGGAAATAGCAACAAAGATTTTTCCGGATATCAAAAGTGGTCGGAACAAGACTTTTGACTTGATTTAAGATCACTTTCAGGTGGTCGGAAATTTCATAATTTCCAGTAGTGAGAGTTTCATAATTTTTTGAATCCGGAAAGTAAAACATGAGTTCCACCGCCCGTTTTGCGGTGCCAAATCTAGCAACGCAATTAATAGATTTACAAATGAAATTCGTGGCTTTAGAGTTTAGAGGAAGAAGACGGAAAGAAAAATCCAATGCGAAGAACACAGAAAGAAGATAACGTGGGTTTAGAGAGAATACAGACTTACAGTTCAAGAATTTAGAGATATGATTATTTGAAAAATCTGATTAATATTATTTAACTGTAATTGATTATAATAATTATTTTTAATAAAAGAAAATGATTACAATTATACGATATTAAGATTATTATAGTTTGCATAAAAGGGTTTAGGTAAAGTTGAATTTACAATTTTACGAGGTGATATATTTTAGTTCATCGCCGTTGTATAGCACCTATACAATGCCGGTGTATCAAATATTTTCTCTTTAAAAAATGTGTATTTTTGAAATACTTGACTAGTGGGTATAAATTCATGCTATATTTCTTTTTTAAAATCACATTTTAATGGCCTACTATCATGTAGTATGATGACATTCCCGTTATCATCCCAAATAAGTGATATATATCTTTTTTGTTTGAATGGATGGAAATTTATTAACAAACTAATGATTCGTATATAAAGTATATAGCCAGGAAAAAAAAATGAATTAATGAATCAAATAAAACGAAACAACAGCCAACAATGCGTCATGATTAATTTTAAATTAAACTTTTTTTAATGACGTCTTGAAATTGATCGATCACAAAAGAACATATGTCAACAATCTATTGATCTTTGGCATTTTAAATATTTAAATTTTATGTAATTGATGACAAAGTTAATAGATCAACGGAGTATACATAATACGTTAACACAACTAGTATTATATCAATATATCAATGTGTGTGGGAAGCGTTACGATTGGACCCCCATCATGTTTCAAAGTAGGAGGTTTACCGCATCCACATTTTTCGAATAAACAAAAGGGATTTCCAGCATTAAAAAACTTGCAATAATTAATACAATCAGTGGCACTTTTACATATGTTTTGCCCTGCGTCACCTCGTGCTTCTACGAAATTCATTGAAAATAGGAAGCCTGCAAAATATTTTAATTACATATTTTTTTAGTTTCAAATATGATTTTTTTTAAAAATAAAATGAATTCTTTATACTCATACTATAAACTTATTTATAATTAGATATGCCACTATGTACAATGCAATAGATAAAAACGATACATTGTAGAGCAACTTACCATGTGGAATAATCAAGGGAGCAATAAAGAAAATCAACTTTGAGGAAACCAATTCCATGGCTTCTTATTTGGGTTAAAATTGTGAGATATTTTATGAGTTTTAAGTGTACGTGGTTAATTCACTTCAATAGATGATAAATTTATGATACACTTATGGGTTATATATAGAATAAAAAAGTTATTTTTGAAGACAGTTTTTTAAGATTCATTAAAAAACAATGTAAGTTCATAATAACATAAGATTTCTAAAATTAATGTCTACTTTTATCTTAAATTAATCTATCTCTTCTTAATTAATACACACAACAAATTAAGAGTATTCGAAACCGATTTGAGTTAGACAAAATTAATGAAGCAGAGTTGGTGGCCCTTTTTAAATGAAGCCTTAAAATGTTGTGCTTCTTCTATCAAGCCATTAATGGAATATGGAAGGTTGCAAAATATTTTTAAATAGTATTTTTTATTTTGTGAGAACGCCCTGCCCAGTGCGGCCAGCCCCTTCTAAACCTAGCACATTGGCATCAGCCAAAAGAGTCCCAAGATCTCTTCGAGAGCAGGTTATAAGATAGTTGTACCCGCATCCTTAGTCTGACAAAGCAAAACTTATGAAATTATTTTGGATTAGTTGACCAATTGAGTTGTGACTCGATATAATGTTCTTTATTTATAAAATTAAAATGAGTTAATATCTAAAATGATGCTCGACTATAATGGTTTTTCTTAATTTCGTCTTATTAGTGACCCAATGTAGTCTCAGACTTTTGTATTTTTGTTCAATTTAGTCCGAAAATTGTGTTTTTTTTGCTCAGTTTAGTTATTCGTTTGGTGTTAAATAGATAGACAATTCTGTAATTTCAATATTGGCATCTCTTTACTCCTAGACCTACGAATAGGGGTGTAAACGAGTCGAGCCTGGGTTGGCTCAAGCTCGAGCTCGTTAAGGAAGGCTCGGCTGAGCTCGAGCTCGAGCTCAACAATTTATGCTCAAGCTCGAGCTCAGCAGCTCGATTGTTCGAGCTCAATTTTGACCTGTTTGATTTTAAATTTATGTTTCAATTAAAAAAAAAAAAGTATATATTGACATATCTCGTCTTCGTGTTGTCGTCGTCGACAGTCTTCTAGACTCCAGAGTTAGAAATTGGGGGGAATGTGGGCAGGAGTGCGGGACAGCGAGAGTACTTGAGTAGGGTAAGGGAGTAAAATTTTAATAATAATAATAATAATAATAATAATAATAATAATAATAATAATAATAATATTATTATTATTATTATTATTATTATTATTATTATTATTATTATTATTATTGTTATTATTGTTATTATTGTTATTATTATTATTATTATTATTATTATTATTATTATTATTATTATTATTATTAGGGAAAATCAACGATTTGGTCCCTCAATTGTTAGCGAAATACCAATGTAGTCCCTTAATCGCGAAATCATCTATTTAGTCCCTGAAAATAACTGTTTTTAGTTGATTTGGCCCCTCCGACCGTTCCCAGTTGAAAATCCGGCGAAGGCTCCGATTTGACATGGGTAATTTAGTCTTTTCACACCATCTTCTTCATCCTCCCTAACTAAGCTTCACCGGAAAACGTTCAAGGCCATAGGAAGATGCCGAAGTTATGCTTGAAGAAGATGGTGTGAAAAAGACTGTGTTATATAACACACACCACCATTCAGATCTCTGATCTCTTCTTCCATGAAGAAATGACCATAAACAAGAATTGCAAAAAGAACCCAAAACCCCAGACACGATCTCACCATCTTCACAAGCCACACTCATGGGCAGTGGTGAGAAACCTCTTCACCTGCAACCACACTTGGAGCAGCAGCCAAAGGAGCAGAGACACAGAAAGCCAAAACAGAAGCCCCCCCAAACCCTTGAAGAAATCAGCAAGGTGCGCAAGAAGATGGGGCTGCCTGAACACCCTTCTTCTTCTTCCCCAGCCTCACCTTCCTCCATTGTTGGATCTCTTAGAGGCATGCCCTTCAGAAAGCTGTCTGGGTGCTATGAGTGCAGGATGGTGGTTGACCCTGTTCTTGGCCTCACCAGAGACCCTTCTCTCAGAACTACCATCTGTTCTTGCCATGTTTGTGGTCAGATCTTCATGAAACCTAGTTTTTTTGCTTTTTTCCTCAAATTTCTAGCCAAAATGTTATCTTGATTGATTGGAGGTGAGTGTTAGTTTCAATGGCTTTATCTGGAATTACAGTGTCAGAACTGGGAGTTGAAGACACGAGCAGAAACGTTGTGGAGATCATATTCCAATCCAGTTGGCTCAAGAAACACAACCCAATCTGCACTATCGACAGAATCCTTAAAGTCCACAACACACCCAAAGTAATCTCGAGGTTTGAGGAGTACAGGGACGCCATTAAAGCAAAAGCCAACAAGCTTCCCAAAAAGCACCCACGTTGCGTGGCAGATGGGAATGAGCTCCTGAGGTTCCAATTCCGGTCAGGCAGGCAGGCAGCGAGATGTCCCTGAGAAGCAATTCCGGTCAGGAAGGCAGCGACCCAGCAGATCCGACGGACCACCGTACCCAGTGCAAATCGGCTCAGCGGCATATTTCGTGATAGATGGACTTGGCTCCATTTTCCGACCGACGAACGTTTTCGGTGAAGCTTAGTCAAGGAAGATGAAGAAGATGGTGTGAAAATACTAAATTACCCATGCCAAATCGGAGCCTTCGCCGGATTTTCAACGGGGAACGGTCAGAGGGGCCAATTCAACTAAAAGGGACTAAATTGATGATTTCGCGATTAAGGGAACAAATCGTTGATTTTCCCTCCTTATTATTATTATTATTATTATTTTGAAGGGAAAATGGCACTTTTTCCCCCTGTGTTATATACTTATAGCACTTTTCTCCCCTATATTATTTAAGTGGCAATTTTCCCCCCTAATATATTAAATGGACATATTTACCCTTAAAATAAATATTTCCTTTATTTTACTTCTCCAATAAATTATAACCACAATTTGAAAAAATAAAATACATTAATTGTTGAATTTAGAATACTTTAAAAATAAAAAAATAAAATTTTAAAATAAAGTTTGAACCAACAGTTCAAATTGGATCAGAAATTGTGAAACAACGATTCAAAATAAAAACCAAATCGCGATTATATATACTTATATGTGAGATCAGAGTCAATATAAATGCGAAAAAAACATACACTATTTGCAAATATTATAATTCTAATTTTAAGCTATTGCTAGTAGTTGTTCCGATTTGAACCTCTGGTTCACGGTTCAGAATCTATTTTTTTCCACTTCACAATTTTAATAAACGGAAACCCAAATATTGGGTTATGTTATGAATCATAACCGAATTTTTTTTATTTGATTGCTATAGTGTTCGGTTCAGTTCGAACCGAACCGTGGCCATCCCTACGTATAAACAATAATTTGTTGAACAAGAGAAATAAATAAAATATGTATTTTAAGGGTAAAAATGTCTATTTAATATTATCAGGGGGAAAAACCGCCACTTTTATAATAATTGAGGGGGCAAATGTGGATGCATGAATAACTCAGGGGGAAAAAGTGCTATAAGCATATAACATAGGGGAAAAAAGTGCCATTTTCCCTATTTTGAATGTTACTAGCTCTATTACATTGTAGTATCTGTTCATATACTTTCTCAACCTACTGAAACACAAAGAGCTAATAACGCCTCCACTGAGACTCGAACTCACAACCTTCGTTGATTTTCCCTCCTTAATATACTTTATTTGGAATAAGCCTGAGAGCAATGAAGAGAAACAACTTTGGAGACAGTACAATGTTTCCATGGCATTCTTTTTGGATTAAAGATTGAAAAAAAAACTATGGTGTACCCTCAAACTTTAGAAGAAGGAAATGTATGATTTTTTTACGAACATAACAATATATGATTTCTATATACTTGATTAATAAGTAGGTTATTGAGTTTCTCATTCAATTTAAGATAATTCATAAATAAAAATAATTTTATTATCACTGATGAAAATTTATTGTCTTTATAGCTTTATCGTTAGTGACGACCCCATAAATTTTTAATAAGTGATAAATTATAACAAAGTAAATGTATACGATGAATATGGTGTTAGCGAACAAAGCTTTCGGTAAATTACTCGTGTTCGTGTTCGGTAAGCGTTCGTTTATGTTTGTTTATTAAGGTAAACGAACATTAATAAACAAAATTTAGATCTCGGTTTATAAACGAACAGAGTCTGAACAGTTGTAAGCTCGTTTGCTATAAGAGATAGTGAACAAGCTCGTTTATGTTTGTTTAATAATGTTCGTGAACAAGCTCGTTTAGTGTTCGTTTATAATGTTCGTGAACAAGCTCGTTTGTGTTCGTTTAATATTTGTTTGTATTCTCTTTGTAGTTGTGTTACTTGTTTAGTTATTTTTCATGAACATATATTATTTCTTGTTCACAAACAAATTGTGATCATGAACATGTTCATATGTTTGGTTATTAAGAATTCACGAACGTGTTTATGAACGTGAACGAACACGTTCGTGAACAAGTCCGCGGACGTTAACAAACACTAATGAACGCTTAACAAACGAACATGAACATGATTTTCAAAAACATTAACAAACGAACACGGACACTCCAATAAACCTTAACAAACGAATACAAAGAACCTCCGTTCATTTATGTTTGGTTCGTTAACAGTCCTAAGTCGATGAATCATATCCAAAAATTTAAGAAAATTGTTAAAAATAATTAATAAATTTGTTAACTTGAATTGATATATAAAAATGAGATTTATATTGGATACAATTATAATTTAAATTTTTCATTTGGTATGTCAGTTGTTAGACGTTGATAATTTTTCAAGATCATTTTTTCATTGGTGGGACAGGGCCTTGTTTGGAGTTCAAATTTGACTATTACAAAATGTGGAGTGAATTCCATTTTTGGTCCTATTGTTATAGGGGCGTTTCCAATTTTAGTCCACCTTAATTTTTTTTGCCACTTTATAACCACTATTATTGAATGTGTTCCACTTTTAGTCCCACCGTTAGTATTTTCCCTCAAGAGGCCGTGTAATTTAGGGGTATTTTGACCTTTCTTCTCATCCAAGACTATGTTTGACTAAAGAAATGAGAACATTAAACCTAAAACCTAAGAAACCTCGCCGGCCCATGTTGGAACGAACGAAACGATGTAGCTTTGGCTTCCCATTCTCGTTGTTCGAAGAGCCATCTTCGAATATCGGAGGAGGATGACGAAGCGCCTGGATTAAAAGAGAAGAGACAAACATAAAAAGACCAAAATACCCTTTTATTATACGGCCTCTTGACGAAAATATTAACGGTGGACTAAAAGTGGAACACATTCAATAACAGTGGTTGTAAAGTGACAAAAAAAATTAAAGTGGACTGAAATTGGAAACGCCGCTATAACAGTAGGACCAAAAATGGAATTCACTCGAAAATGTGCATCAATAAAAAAATTTTAATTTATGATGTATTTGTGTGAAAGAACTTCATAACATTGTTCCACTTTATCTTTGAACCAAACATTCTTGTCCATCCCCACTAGTTGTAAAAAAAAAAAAGAATAATTTTCCTTTCAAGTTATAAAAAATAAAATAAATTTGAGGAATAAAAATATATTAATTTGGGAAGAGAAACAAACATACTAATGTGTATGTTATATTGTATTTTAATATAAAGTCATGCTATATTTCTTTTCTAAAATCACAATTCAAATGTTTATTCTTGTATTTTATTTCTTTTATATTTGATTACTATATAAATTATTAACTCGTATATGTTGGAGCACTGTAGTATGTTTATTCACTAGTCTCTGATGGAACAAACGGATTTTATTTTTTAAAACCTTATAGATAAATTATTTTTATATTTTCGCTTGAAATGATGGAAATTTATTAGTGAAAAAACAAAAAACCCTATAAAGTCTAGCCAGAAAAATGAAAAAAATGAAACAATAAAATGGAACGGGCACCAATTTTTTTTTTTTTTTTTTTTTGAAAGGAAACGGGCACCAATTAATCGTGATTAATTTCAAATCAAATCTCTTTATTAACTTCTTGAAATTGATCCATTACAAAAGAACATATATCAATACTCTATTGATTTTGTAAGTGATGACAAAATTAATAGATCAATTTATACATATTTTGTTACCGAGGGTAGTATTTAGATCAATATGGCATAGTTTACGGGAGGCGATGCAGTTTAGGCCCCATCATGTTTCAAATTAGGGGGTTCAAGGCAATCACATTTTCCTAAGTTGCAAAAAGGATTAACCTTGTGAAAAAACTTGCAATAATCAATGCAATCATGATGAGATTTGCATAAAGTTACGGATTTATCACCTTGTGCTTCTGCAAAATCCATTGAGAATAGGAAGCCTACAAAACATTTAAATTGTTTATTTTTGAGTCTCAAATTTGAAACATTAAAAAAAAACAAATTATTTATACTCATATTATAGACTTATTTATAATTGATTATACTATATACTATGCAATACATAAAAACAATAACATTGTAGACTAACTAACCATTTGGAATAAGCAAGAGAACAACAAAGAAAATCAACTTTGTGTCCATTTCTTTTTTCTTCTTTTTTTTTTCTTTTTTTTTAAAAAAAATAAATTGTTAGAGGTTTTATGTTTTTCAAGTGTGGTCGATTCACCTCAATGGATGAGTGTTGAAGTTTATGCAAAATTTGTGTGGTATATATATAAGATCAACAAGAAAGGATAAGATTCAAAAGAACCAATCAATTTCATAACATATTACATTTGAAGTTAATTTTATTTTTGTCTTAAATTAATCACTTTTATTAACACACATTAAATTAAGAGAGTACTTGAAACTGATTTGATTAAACCACAATATTAATGAAATTGCATGTGTATAATAACGTTGGTAGTTTTACTCAATATTAATGAAATTGTATGTGTATAAAAACGCTGGTAGTTTAAGTCTAAGCAGGTCAGCCGTACGATCAGCTTAATTGATTTTTGAGTGGTAAATTAACTTGTCATTCGTATTTGATGCTAGCATATATATAGTAATTGGACATATCATCTTCTTTCCAGAAGGTTGAATCCCAACGGTATGGCCTAAGGGCCCCCACATTGTGGCTAGTGAGACTTAATCCGTGGTCATTCTTTTTAACTTTAACCTCTATGACCAGTTGAGTTGTCCATACCGGCAATTAAAACATATCATCTTAATTAGACAAGACAAAGTTGTTACTTTTCTAGATAATGCTTTTACATATAGTTGAAAATAAAATAATTTTTAAAGAAGTAATTTTTAGTTTTTAGTCAATTCTCAATTCAATAAATCTGTATCTTAATAAAATACAAACTTCAATTCAAGCACGATATGATAAACACTATAACTTTTAAATATTTAATTTAAACGCGATAACTAAACACTTCTTAATAAAACACCATCTTGATGTGTGGATGAATGAGCTTTGCGGGGAGAACCAGGAGGAGTAA